GATGTTAACCAACGTTTCAGAGGTCATACTGCCTCCGTCATCAGAGTATGAAGATTTCTGTCTTCTGGGTTGTTGCGCTGTGTAGTCTGGTTGATGTTTACCAACGTTTCGGAGATCATACTGCCTCCGTCATCAGGGCGATGAAAATATTCATCGCCCTGATGATGGAGGCAGTATGACCTCTGAAACGTTAGTTAACATCGACCAGACTACATAGCGCAACAACCCAGAAGACGGAAATCTTCATACTCACCGCTGTGAGAACCTCAAGTCTTACATATTGGTAGGATCTTTCTTTGTTGGTCACCTGATCGACTATTAATTTTTCGAAAACGAACTCAATTTTTATAAAGTTAATTAAAGCTATACTTTCATTAAGTGAAACCTTTACTGAAGGAGGAATGGGCTGAGGGACTTTCAGATCAGCAGGGATAAACTAAGGCTCATCGCAGTAACCTCAGCCCTCCCACTCTCTAAATCATCAAGAGTAATGACGTAGGCTAAAATATTCATAAACACTAACCACGTGCCTACATAACATACAAAGGTCTTTCAAAAAAATCACTGTACGTATATATGGAAAGTCAGAGCATTCATAGAACATTAAACAACTCACGTAAGTCCCAAAGCAGTTTACATAATGCAATGCATTTTCCAGACAGTCACGACGTAAGAAAGCCGACATTTTGTTTGTATTAAGAATTAAAGTACTAATAAGTTTACTAACAACTGTTTTAAATCGAGAAATTCTGATCGTGCGTGCGTGCGAATGGGTGGGAGGGAGGAACATGTGTGTGCGTGTGTGTAAATTTACGGGTGTGCATATATAAAACACATGTGTATTCCAACCTACGGCCCATATATGTATAGCAGATGAGCATCCACATTGCGCTTCGCGACTCCTAACGTCGCAATGTCGACTTCAGTTATAAATCAAGTCAAGGGGAGAATGGAGACGCCACAGGGCAGGATAAACACAAGGAAACACAGAGCGTCTAGACGCCGACAGGAGATCCCCCATATACCGTCTTTGATGCTTTCACACGTCCCGACAAATTTTTGTTTAAGACGTCTGAGTAAAACTACGTTTCCTCAGAATTATTTCTTTTGAATTCCCTGACAAGCGAAATAATGTGTTTCTAACACCACACCAGGAACATGAAAGATGCTTGAGGTCTGTGAGAGTTCTGAATCATTTTACAATTGTAATGTGAGGGTCACTAGTGGTTCAGTGTGCCTGCCAGCAGTCTCTTAAGAGCCAAAGTGTTGTTGTGTGATGCCAACTCACCCCGATACTGTTGTCTTGCGTTTTCCTAGAAGATTCTTCCTCACGTTGCAATTCAGGAGTATCCACCGAATCCACCGGTGAGTCATGAGATGTAATCCGCATGGCTCTCATGGAGTGAAGCAGATGCCACGGGTTGGACATCGGCTTGGTGCCAGTACCACCACCACGGGTGTTACTGGAGGAAAGCCCTTCCCCGCCGCAAGGGTCTTTCTGTTGAAGATTCATGTCTCCAAGTTCTCTCCCACTTGTTCCCTGCAAAAGTGGACCAAGCTCTTCCGGGCTTGGACCTGCAACAACAACCGATCTTAAAGGAGACCTCTTCCCAGGATATTTAAATGTGATAGAGGTAATGTGAGGTACAGATTTCACACGAACACTGCACTGCTGAGATTAGCTTTTCCCTCTACATCCAATTAATTTGTTGTAATAATTTTACTCGAGTACGAAAGCACAGTCAGCTTACGAAACGTCGGATGTTTTAAACTAACAGACGATGGAAAAACTCCCTACAGTTTAATGGCACACTTTCGTCAAAACTTTTACACAAATATTACTTTTGTCTATTACCGCTTTTAAAACAGCGTAAATTATGAAGTACCTAATGGTAGAATGATAAATGTGGGATGAAGAATTCATTGACTGTTTCAAAGAACTGGCACAGAACTTCTCAGAGGGTCTAAAGAAGCGATATATATTTACCTAGCCGATCATCATCCAGTATTTATTATTTTATCACTTATTAAGTTAAGTGCTCTTTACTGAAGACTGTTGTGCGCCTAAAACCGGGTTTTTGTCGCGGTCCACAGTTGTAATCGGATCACAGAGCTGAGAATCGAACTCAGGGTACCAATATTTTATTTATTTATTTAGTGTTCTGTCTGACGACAGGTCCATATGAACAGGATCCTTCCATCCTTTTCTCGGACTGGGACCTGTTCATATACGTTCTTGGCAGATGATCCAGAAGTGGTTTGCCATTGCCTTCTTCTGTGTGTAAATGGAGTAATTGTTGGGATGCCACGGAGGAAAACTCCGTGTTGCCTAGACCACGGCCTTGCCCAACACAAGTTATAAATTCGGGCACCGCCGGGAATCGAACCCGAGACCCCAGGATTACAAGGCCAGCGTTCTAACCGCTAGACCACCGTCGCGGCGGTATCAATATACAAAGCAGGAAAGCGAATCACTCTATTGCAATGCACTCATGTATTAATTTTATAATTTATATTAAGTACGGCTCTGCTGTTTAATTTGGTAGCGAATACCCAAAGAATCGAATACAATAATTTACGAAATACATCGACACGTAAATCGATATAAATTCAAACGCCCTTATCTCACTCAAACTGATAACATCTAGGCCGATATCGAAACATGTAAACAAAGACTGGTCGATACTTAGTTTACTTAACAACGCTGCTCCAATTTCACAGGTTTAGTGAGATGGGATGTTCATGAACGGCGAGTAATGCTTTAGTTGGAAGTGGTCGTGGTCTATTTTAGGTACCGCACCAACGCTTGCCTTATGATATTTAAGACAACCATAAAAAAACCTCAGTTAGGAAAATGGTAAACCCAGATTTGAAGCGGGAATCTCCGAATTCTGCATAGTAATTATAATTACAATAAGACACGTGTGTATTATGCATGACTAATCACTTTCTGAGTAATGATATTAGACGACATAATGTTTTATTTTACAAATGCTGCTATCATAAAACAGCTTTTAAAGGAATATCTAAAGGCGATACAGATACAAAAGAGATAAAGAAAGGAGGAAGATGGGTTAGGAATTAAGATACAAAAGAAGTCATTATTCGTTTAATTTCAACGGGAATTTACCAATAGCACAATTTAGTAACAGAATTTTGGCCAATACGAAACCACTGTGAATTGCTAACCTATCTTAAACACGTGCACATACAGAACACGCTCAAAAGTAGATCACGGTATTTTAACATCGTCAGACAAAAACAAAAATGTATCAGGTTATAAATCTTACGCTAAAGCATAGTTATGTCTCCGTGTCTGATGTAGACTGTTAAAAGCATGAAACAATAAACCTTTAGTTAATTTTTACAGAACGCTTCTACAAGCCGTCTTTGTAGCTTAAAAGAGAAATTTCCCAAAAGAGAATATTTTCGTAGCGGCCCGGAACTAACCTTCCTTTCGTAATCTAACTTGGAGTTAATTAAGAGCTACACCACTGAATCAAGATATGTGAAATTTGAACTTGCAGATTCCACACGACGTTTAATTGCTTTAAGAAAATTATTCCATGGAATAAACCTCGATACGCGCTGATACTCGATCAGCACGACCGTACATTTACCGTCATCTATTGAACGTTAAACATCAGTACTGCATTCACAGAAGTCGATGGACTGTGTTCGGCCACTTTGTTCAACTTTCACACTAAATTTCTCAAAGACTTGTAAGTTATTATATTTCAAGCACCCACATCTGCGAATATCAGGGAAAGTGTATCTCTCCTCGAAACTGTCGAAACAGACCTGTACGTATTTAATTTTCACTCCCTGCGTTCTAAGTGCTTCGCCCATCTAGGTCTGTTTGTTTTAATTACGTAATGACAGTGCTTAAAGAGTATATATAATTAAGTTACTCATTATTTTAATTCTTTTATAACCTTTTTATTAAGTTTCAATATTCTCGCCAGCACTTATCTTAATGTAAAACACAGAGATTATATTCACCAAAAGAATTGTGTAATAGAAGTTCTGTGTCTTAAAACATATTAAGAAGGCCACAAAATTGATATTTTTTGAGATGTTACAGATGACAGATAAAAAATTATTAATCTAATGTGTGTTTACATATTTTTCGTATTAAGTTTCGGTCGACTACTTCCTTGTCGCTTGAGAAGACGCTTATTAATTGAGTACAAAACACTGCACTCATTCATTGTCTGAAAAAATATAGGCCTTTCACAAAAAAATTCTTCATCAATCACCTGGACAGTTATATGGTTCAGACGAGAAGCCATGACGTGTTGTTTAGCAAACCGAAGTTAATGAATAAGCAATGTAGCAGACCATCTCAGCAGTGATGTTTAAACTAAACCCACAACATTAATACATTTGTGTAGAGTTTCGTCCACAAAGGTTTCACGACCTGCTTGCTCTGAACAGTTATGTAAAGACCCCTTAAACAATTGTGAACAATTTCTGAAGCATACCTAGCAAACTGTGTCAAATTTTCGTACATACAGTCGACGGTTCATTGTCTCGGTTCACAAATTTCGTCCTTATTATTTTGGAAACCAGTCAGAGACCTCTACGCTTGCCACAAAGCATTATTAAATTTACAAGTTTCCACTGTCGCCAGTAAGATTTTTTGTATTTCATCTTTAGTGACACACGAAAGTTACTGCCTGGAAAATAAGGCTTAATTATTGTCATTAAATTCAGCTAATGAAAACGGAAGAATGGGGCATCGCAAATTTCTTCGTCTATTTTACACCACGGCACTGCATAATGTTCTCAAAACATTTCTAAGAGCCAGAAAATAAACAGTGCAATTATCTCCGTACCTTATTATTGGTGTCACTAACAAGAAATATCTTGAAAACTTGTGTCATAGAATAAAAATATTTATTCCTGATCCTCGTAGCTCAGATTCTTCTTATTAAACTGATCCTTGAGCCTGCATAACAGCAAGAGATACGCCCACTTGCTGTTACGAAAGAAATTAAAGTCTGCACTTGTAGGGTATCATCGTCTGTCTTGATGAGCAATCCTTCAAAAACTACTTCTCTTTTCGGGAATCCTTCCAAGTTCATTCTTCTTTCATCTCCCGAGTTTCTCATTTCCTTAGTTGGTCTCCGAGTTCAATTCCTTTGTCACACAAATAGCTTCTCTAAATGTGGACGACTGAATAAGTCACAGAACGACGCAAAATTTAAATATTTTAAGTTTTGATGCTATGATTACCATTTCAGGTTCATAAAATACAAAAGGGAGTTGCTTGTTTGTAGATGCAATAAAGCCGTATCTGTTGCAAAGGTTATTTGGCTGTGAGGCGTACTTTGGAAAGGAACCCATTCATAATATTCTTGCATTAACTTACAAATCTCTTCGATGCATATTTGGTAATTTCTATTATTCAGTTTTCCCAGAAAATTATTAGGTATGTTGCAATAGACGAAGATTGCTACCAAATTGGTTTCGCTTAACTGTTATTTATGATCTTATAATTCTCACAGTCTCTATCTACGATAGTAGCAGAATCTATGCATATACACAACACTATAAACCTACGGAAAACAGTAGTTGTCATATGGTTTGTATCACTGTGAAAAACTGCCTCCTAATTTGAGAGCACAACATACATCTGAAGTGTCCAATGGCTCCTGATACATACCAAACCAACATCTGCTTCAAGAATGCTGGAGTTCGTTAGTGGCACCTACTCACCGTGTCCCCCGGTCTGTTTCAGCACTGCCATAACACAAGAAGTCAGCAAATGTGGAGGAACGCCTGAAGCCGGTACGACAGGGAGAACTCGACACACGCTCCGATCTGCGCTTGTCGACCGAGACACGTCATCATCGCTACAGCGTTTTGTTTATAGAGAACTGTCATCAGTGAAACTTCTCGTCCAAATATTCATCTTTTTAGCCGGTGCGTTTCTAGGTTTCTGACTGGCTGTTAAAACCATCTTTGACGAGGACTATTTCTTTCGCGTTCCTTACACGGCGTTAAAACATGCGTTGATTTTGGAGAACATGCATTTAACAGTGCGATTAAGACTTCCAATTGGTGCTGTCAACTCCGTTAGTTCTTCGTACGTAATGTTTCGTTCTTATAAAAGTAACAGCTTTTAACATTTCTTCTGGTTTCAGAGATTTTGGGATTTAAGAATTTTATTTTAATTTATCTTTTTTAACATTTCTTCTGGTTTCAGAGATCTGGCGATTTAAGAAGTTTATTTTAATTTCTCTCTGACAGATTAATTGTTCTTCTGGTTTAAGATAGCTGTATTGACCAAAGATTATCTTTGTAAGATTCTGTACATTTTAACAAAATATTTCTGTGGCATACGCCTATTAGTATTTTTCTTGTAACAGGTGAACAAATACTCCTGTCATGTGATAATAGACGTCATATCGTCAAAACGTTGATACCGGTTGTGTTTTATTAAATGTAAAAACAACATTTCGCCTCGATTCTGCAGAATTCATATTATAGAACTCTGTCCCGTTATTTTTCAAAGTGCACTGAAGTTGTACTGCGAATTAGTAAGCGTGTGAACGTACGTGCTGCTGTTCCTTTGAAGATACGCTTTCCATCAACTTTAATTGAGTTAGCGACTGTCACGCCCACTTGTTACACAACTCAATTAATGTACAGCCGATCATCATCTTTATCCGTTAGCTAAATTGCAGGTCTACGTGATGGAAACATACACAGCCCAATAGGCGTTTTATAATGCTTCAAATTCTGTAACGTGAGACATTTTTAATAAAATTGATTAAGTCGGATGTGATCTTCAAACAAACGACTCAAAGAAAATTATCCCAAATTCATAGAATGTTATTTTTTTT